TTTCATCTTGTTATTGTTTAGTAAGCAATTACAAATCGACCCCACTAGTATCGCGCTCTGGGTGAAATTTATTTATTTATTTGACTTTTTTTTACACTGGGTATAAATTTGACAGATATTACCCCCTAGGTGAAATTAGTAAATGTTTTTGAGGGCAAAAGAGTAAAAAGAGTTTTCAACAATGGGTGTCTACGTACAAATTCAAACTGCATGAATAATAAATTCCAAAGTGCGATACTAAAAGGCTGTACCTGCAATTGACCCAAAGTTCTATGGCCAGAAATAATTTTATCATTTGAGTTTTGGGTAGATTGACAAAAGTACCCACGAACTTTGGCGGGTATTGCAGAAAACCTCCCTGAACTTCATAATCAAATTAACCTGCTCAACTTTCAATATTATACTACGCCCTTGCTGTTGGGCTCTAAAGCTTCTATTTGGGGTCCGAGGAAACACGAAGTCGCCTAGAGAGGTCACACAAACACAAAATTAACAGCACGAATACAAACAACGAATTTTACGTGGTTCGGCAAGTTGCCTACGTCTAAGGGGCAAGAAGGTGATGAGTTTTCACTAATAGAGAAGAGATTACAAATAGAGATTACAAAATCACTCAAAATCTCTCAAACAAAGCTCTCAAATCTCTCACACAAATCCCAAACAAATTACTCAGAAAACTCTCTTTTCTGTGCACCAAATAACCCATTTTCAACCTTACTAAACCCTAAAAAACATGTTTTAATATATCAAAACACAAACCCAATCAGAACAGGAAACCAGAATCAGGCCCAAACCAGACTGGTGGTCGACCGCTGAAATCATCGCGGTCGACCAGACAGAACTCATCAAACTGGCTACATCAAAATGACTGCCTACGTTTCCTCTTGTCTAATGAATCAAGCCTCACATAGTTCATCCAAATAGCATCCAAAGGCCCTCAATCAACTAGAAGGATTTTCAACTCTTCACCAACTTCACGATCATCACCAACAAATCTGCAGCTGATAACACTCCTAATGGCCTCAAAGTGAAAAGATAATCTTTCTTCCAAACTTGCATCTCTCTACACCAAATTTGTCTTGGAGCTTAACCCCTCAAACCCTATATGTAGAAGAAACACAATTACCAAACACCTCCA